AAAATTAACTTTTCTTTTATGTTACTTATACGTAAGAACAAATTACTTTAACTTTTTTTGAGATGTTAAAGGTAATTGAACCTTGGCATTCAATTATCCTTGAAATTTAAAAAAGATTTGATTAAAAATACTCCACTGCAGTCCTTTGTTTTTATACAGGTAGTAAAATTTCTGAAAGAATAAATACAAGCCCGAATGATAAAACTATACAATAGAGTGTTCAAAAGAGCTCATTAACAAATAATATTCTATACTGAATACACTGCAAATATTCTGTACCTTATACTCACAACTTTATATTCTGTATACACTTACAAACTATTAAAAAAATTGCCTATACTTTATTTTTTATAATTTATTTATCTTTTTATATCATTTTATTTTTTTTTTCTTTTATTTTGTTTCGTAATAATTCTTTAGCATCTGTCATAATAAAAGATGGAAAACATATGAAAGAAAAGAGAGAAAGTATTAAAGTCAAAATAATGACATAATTTGTCATCTCCTTCACTTTATTTTCCCTACTATTTTTATTAAAAATTCTAGGATACAAAAGAAATTTAATAATAATTTCGAAATATGAACAATAATATATAAAAAAAAAGACAAACAGATGACAACAAACAGAAACAAAAGTAAGAAAAAACTGGGGAGGCGAGAATATTTCTCTCTGTTTCTCATTTTTGTACTGCCATAAATTATAATACAATATTGTTTTTTTAATGTAATAATTTAATATTATTAAAAAGTTCCTAGTACTATACAAGTAGCTATAGTATATTCAACAAAATTATGCGAAATTATTCAGAAAAGTGTTTTTCAGAGAATTTTTTTTTGTTCTGAAATATAGGTTTTAAAAAAAACTTTAGAGTAAAAAAAAAAAACCATAAATAAAAGCAGAAAACTTAAGAAAAGAAGGCTAAGTACTAAGGGGAACATTAAGAAATATGAATGACAGTCAATGTACAATCTAAAGAGGGGAAAAAAAAGTTCCAAAGATTTCCTTAAAATGATAAATTTTTTATCATTAATTTATTTAATTCATGGTGGGTTAAATGTTCTATTTATATAAGAATAGCATAAAAATTATTTATTTATGTTTTTAATTAGGAGTTCAGCAAATTCCATTGTAATTAATCATTTTTCAAGAATAAAGGATTGAATTTAAAATATATAATAATATGGGATTAAAATGCTAAAGAAAAACAATATATTAATATTTTCAGGATTTTTATAATTTAATGACAGAATTTTATTATAAGAGAAGAATAATTATTTTGTTTTTTTCTTTCCTTTCAAATTTGAATCAATAATATACATTTTTTTTTTGAAATAATGATAAGGATAAATTTAAGAAATCCTTAAAATATTATTATAAAATTATTAAATAATTTATTAGCATAATATTTTTAAATATAAAAATATTAATATTATTCAGATGGGTTCAATGTAAAAAAAATGTGTATATTGATAATTATGAAATGATATATGAGTTGGAGCTACTAAAACTTCTATTATTATGCTGAATTAAATTAAAAATTTTAGTTAAAAATTTTAATTATAATATAAAATTTATTATTCCTCAAAGTTTCACTTTTGGTTATATTATTTAAAAATTTTGTTTAACGAAAATAAAAAAAAATTTATTAAATTTGTTCATTTTGTTATTTAGATATTTTATTCTTATATTTTGATTATAATTTCGATTATAATTTCGAAATTTAATAGCATTAATTTAATAGCATTAATAGTTAATTTTCTTTTTTAAATTAAATACAATTTTCAAATATAATCTGAAGAATTGCAAAAATAAAAATTTATTGCATAAATTACACAAGAAATTGGAGTGGAGATTTGGGTACACGGACGATTCCGTGTCGATTATAAAAAGAATTTTTCTTTCCTACAAAACACATGTTATATAAATGTTGCCTACATTATTGGATATAGTTTCAATAATATATATAATAGTTTCACTAATTGTAGACATAATATAAAATATTATGTATTAATACAAATTATGTATAATAAACAAAATTATTTTTTAAAACATATTTTGACACAAATTCTGAGAACAAATTCTGCAGTTCTTTAGCTCTCAAATTTTGTTAATTTTGTTTTAAATACAAGCATTATCTGCAATTCTTATTTAGATTTTCATATAAAATAGGTATATATTTAAAATTTTAACAAATTTAAGTAATTTTAACAAATTTTAATAATCAAGAATATTAAAATTACATTTTCACCATTCAATTTTATTTAAATAAATTGCAACCGATAAAGTTTTGTTTGCAAAACAAATACACTTTTTAATTTACAGAAATTTATTTACAGGGAAGTGAATATTAATTTTAAAAAATTATTTTCCAAGAAAATTATTTTCCATTTCAGAAAAAATTTTATTAAAAATTTTTTTTGAATTCCGCTTAAAACTTAACATAGAGTACATAATTTCTTATAAATATTATATACAAAGCTATGTATTTAAATTTGTTAAATAATATTAAAATACAACTATAAAGATGATGTACAAACAATTAATACTGAAATAATAATGTATCATACGTACACAAACTGTATTTAATATAATTATTTCAAACTTTTAAATATAATACGCCCGAAGATATGCAATTTTATGTGAAAAATTAAACAATAAAGTTTTCCATGAATTCTTCCGCATGTAATTCTTCGTAATAATTATTCCAAAATTATTTTGCATTCGAATTTAAAAAATTAACAGAGGTATAAATTCCACAATTTTCTCATGCTTTTAAAAAAATCCACTAAAGTTATAAAAATTTACAAGGTTTTATGCTCTTTCTCTTGTAATTTTTTCATTAATTTTCTTGGAGGACTAAAAAAAAAATTACTTTCTTTTGTTTCATTCTACCTGTCAACGTAAATTGTTTTTCTTAAAAAAACCCTACCGCAAAAATTTTTGCCTCTTTCAATTTCATTTTTTTTTTTCATTTTTGCTTCACAACCATATAGTAATATTAAAACGCCTCTTATAACATTAACCAAATTACATGATACACGTATAATGAATAATTATAAAAAAAAAATTATATAAAACAATGCAAAACGGTGTGAGCAACGCGACCACTAACCAAAATCAAAAAAAAAAAAAATAATTTCACATACTTCTTTTCTTTAGAATAACTCAGTACAAAAAAAAATCCACCACAACCAAAATTGAAAACACAAAAATAAAAATATAATTTATATAAAAATGAAATTAAACCAACAATATCAAAGCAAAAATAAAAAACAAAATAAAAAAAAATGACAAATTGACTGACAGGTTCAGGCTGTTAATTGGTGATAAAAAGTTTATTTCTGCTTTCTGTTGTGTAAACATAATAACCTCGCAACATTGTTAATAAAAATAAAAGAGTAAAAAAAAAGAAGAAATACAAAAAAGAAATAATAAACGAAAGTAAGCGAACGCATAATAAGAAAAAATTACGGTATGAAAACGGTAGGATACCCCCAAAAAATAATATTATTTTACTCTCTTACATTTCTAGCATATTATATAATAATGTTGTGTATGCGTCATATTAAGTGTATATGTATGAAAGAAATGAGTGTATTTGGCAGGAACAACAATTATTATTGAAGCAGAAGCACACAACACTCTGTGTCGTATATCATGGTGAATTTATTTCCATTCTCATTATTTAATATCTACACCGTATTTCTGCGTTATGTGTATATTATATAATAGGAAAATATTAATCATTTTTAGAAAATACGATATTCGTTCATAATGTTGTTAATGTGTTTTTTAAAAAAAGGATCATTAAAAATTGATCAAGGTGTTTTTTATAAAATATGAAATCATGATAAATCGTAAAAGGAAAAAAATATTTTTCTTGCTCTGAACTTAAAGCGTTCCTGAACATTTTAATATGACAAGACCATTATATTTCATGAAAATCGCTTATTCTCATATTTCTCAATCATTCGGTTTATTCTGTTTAAATTACGGGCAGTTTATTGTAAATACAATTGAAGACCTTATAAGCAGAGTGGTCTAACTTACAGATTGTCAATTTCGAAATAGTTTTATAAAACTATTAAGTAAAATATTAATTCATGTTATAAAAGAAAGAGAAGAATAAGTGAAAAGAATTATTGCAAGTCCGTTCAATAGTGCTAAATTTTTCAAATAAAAACTATCATCGATTCGGAGAATGGTCTAAGCCCAATTTTGTTTTTGATTTGTAAAAATTATAATCATATACAAGTGAGAGATTTATACATTTTTATTGAACTTAATTGTGTACTACATATAAAATTTGGCACAGAATTCAAGGATAAAGATTTCTGAAAATTTAAAATTAATTTATCCCACAATTTAATATATTTTTTTGAGGTTTTTGAGGAAAATGTGATTTCCTTTTTTAATTTTTGTTATTAATTTTAGTAAAGGTTGGATCATATTGCTTCTTGGACAGTATAACTATAATATTGAGGGCCGTTAAAGGTTATGAATAAAATACCAAAAAAGAAACAACCATTTATAAAAATTAATTGCTGCGCTTAATCCCATTAATTGATATACCCTATGGTTAACATGAGTTGAGACCATACCAATTTATGGTATTATGAGCAATGAGAAATTTATGGATAATAATAACAAGAAATAATTTTACACTTACATAGACACACGAAAATAATTTTCCGTTTTTAAAAATATCCTTGTTCTTATTATTATTTTCCTTTTTTTCGTTTTTTTTTGCATTTTTATTATTATTATCGTTATAATTTTTATAATTTTTATTTTTTTTTCGTTGTTTTTTTTTTATTGTACCTTTTGTAATATGATTTTAACGAGAAAGAAAGACAACATAAGAAAATATAAACGGTAGAGAGATAACGTTATTATAAAGCAAAAGCTGGTTGGGGTAAAAATAAAAAAAGTACTTACATAGAATACGCATTTTAATAAATTTGAAATTCCAAAGGTCTATAGCTTATAGGTAGATGTAAATTGTATATATCTATGTACGTTTACGTACGTAAAAACTATGAATATTTTCAAGGTGAATAATTTAATTGTACTTTGCTTACCTGAAAATAGAAAAGAAAACAAAATATAATATCGTAAGAAAAGGATAAAAATTAAATTTATTATTATTTTGTTTACTGTTACTTTTTTTAACATTGCTGTGCCTATAAGCATAGATGTATATAAAAATATTATTTATGTAAAAGTGTTTATTGGATGCCTTTATATGTTTTGTATGTTTAATGTTGTCGCTTTTCTACTCTTATTCACACTTTTCATAATTTTGTGTATTTCGTTTTTTTTTCTTTTTGAAACATTATTAAAAATAACTACAAAATGTTAATTTATTTATTTATTTATGAACATACATGTTTATTTAAGAAAATATATTATAATAGTAGTAATTGATGGATATAATAAAGATTTATATGTGTATCCTTACATTCCTACCTATATACTTTATATTAAAATATAAAATATTTTTGTCAAGGTTTATGTTACCATAGTGTTTCGAATCGAAAGTATTTTTTTTTTGAATTTCAAGAATTTCTTGAGATCTGTGTGGAATTTGATTAATGGATTTGTGGGTGAATCAAGGAGTTTATAAATTAAAAAATATTTAATTTTATTAAAATTTCAAGGAAAATTTTAGGGATTTATTATGTTAACGTTTTTTGCATGCATATTTATGGTAGATGTATTTGTAATATCAATCAATGAGCTCCAATCTTTGAAATTGGAAACTTAATTCATAATATGAATTATAATTACTTATAAATTATACAATGGTTTTGTTATGGTGTTTTATGCCAGATTTTCGGCTAATAGACATCATTACTTATTTTATGATTTTCGAATCCAAAAACCAACAATATGTTTTGTTAATTTTTATTGTGTTACATTTCTACTGCCAGAAAATTAGCATGTCTAACATGCCACACTTTACATTTTAATTTAGCTCTTTTATTCATATTAAGCTCAAATTTCTTTTTTGATGTAGAATTATTAGGGGTTTTATGATACTTCATTATCGGGAAATTTTATAATATTTACCGATTAAAATCATGGCTCTTTTTTTTTACGCACTTTATATAAAATATTTCAATAAATTATGTTACAAAATTTTTATTCAATTGAAATTTTCATTAATAATTATAAATTTCGTGAATTGCCACATTCGGCTTATAGTTGTAACATCAATTTTTAAATAGTTTTTATCGATATTTATGAGTGCGAGCTTATGAAAAATAATAAAAATGTCATGTTAATAAAACATTGGTTATATGAGTGATTTTTTCTTTATTATAGAGAAATTTTTTTTTGTTATTTATAAGAAAATTTTAATATTCAAAATTATATATTTTTTATTTTACCTTTTCTTAAATTTTTCGTAAAGATTTTCCAAAATTATTAAAGTGTAGGATAGTGAAAATGTGATATAGTTTCAAATTTTAATAAAATTTTAAGAAATTTTTGGTATAAGGTACTTATAGCTTTTTGAGTATTTTGGGATTGGCTGCTGTGTTTTATGATTAAAAAATTAATTAGATACGGGTACAATTTTTAGCTTGGTTCATGAACAAATTTTGTAGTTTTAGTCTTGGTAAATATGATAGATACCATACTTTTGAAATGAAATAGTTAACCAAATTTAGGGCCTGCTCGTCGGAACTGGTAACCTGGTAACTATTATTATTAACTATTGCGTATCTCTTTTTCAAATGTATACAAAATTTATTGAGATTGTTTGTGAGTATACAAGGCGTTTAGTCGATAGTTTGACAAAAATGCAAAAATCTTATTGGAAAAATACAATATGCATTAGAAAAACGAAGAATTCTTATTTGACATTGAATAAAAAGTGAGAAAAAAACGCAAAATTCACGATTAGGATATTCATTTTTGATATATAAAACTCAATATTAGCTCTATGCTATTTCTGCATGTTAATCAGGTTTTACATTTTGCATCTCGTGCAAGTAGCAGTTATTAAAATAAATAAGTGAAGTTACAAGGTGTGAAGTTTTTGCGATATTTGAATTAATAATTATTGTCTTAGTAATGTTGTTGTCAATTTTTGCACTAAAATTGCTGCGACAGTTTTTCCTAAGTAAGTCATTGACTTCGAATAGCTTGCAATATCTTTTCATATTTTTACTATATTTTCATTCAAAATGTGTGTATACGCAGACTTCGTCTTTTGTTTTATTTTTTGAATAGTTGATTTTGAATAATTAAAATCTACAAATTTTTTTACTTCTCACTAATAAAATTTTTACTATACAGAGGCAATATTAATATCTTAAAATAAAAATCATAACCACGTGTGGAATTTAATCAATAAAGAAATTAAAAAAATAATTGTACGAATATGAAAAAATTTTTTAAATTTTGTGTTTATGTATATATTTAATTGTAATTAGAATTCGTTGAAAAGAAATGGGATGAATTATCTTGCTTTTATTATTATTCTTTAAATATCTTGCTGATAAAATGAAAAATTTATTTTTAAATTTTTTAATCACTTTAAAGCTCAACTTAAGACTGGGAAAAATTTTATCTAAATTAGATATGTTTTTTAAACAAAACAGATAAAAATCATTTAACAGATAAAAATTTTGTTAATTACGGGTTCATGACAAAAGTGTCGTAAGTGCACTTCATTTGAATAAATTACTTTATTACTTTTTCAATTGATTCAACGAGGAACAATTAATTGAATACAACTTTGCAACCGTGTATGATATACATTATGTATGTCATTCCATTTTTGATTTTTTTGATTTTTTACAAAATTTTATACTAAAAATTTTAGAAGATACACTTTTAATATTTTAAAATAATTTTATTTATATGAGCCATAAATTGTAACTTTGTTAATTTTGTTTTCCCTCTTCTTTTGTCATATTTTTTTAAGAATAAATTATTAAAACCAAAAAATAATTTTTAATAAACCTTTACTCGTATTATAGTTTCATAACAATTCTAAAAGATTATACCTGAAAGTTTTTGTACTCTTTAATATTTTGAATATGCTTTTTTCTAATGTCGCACTGCTGTACGCCCTCAATATTTTTCAAAATTTTTTTACTCTGAATTTTTATCTATAATGCTCATATTGTATACTTAGGTATAGTTTAGAGACATATACATTGTTTAGAAAAGTAAAATTTCCTTTAACTATTTGTTTTAAATTCAAAAAATTTCAACTCAAATTATGGATGACACTTTTCATACCTGCAATTTACTACCTAATATTATTTTACGTGAAAATTTCTGTGGCACATTCATAATAATTGTATCCTAGAAAATATAACATTGGTAGACACGTATGTATATTCAAATAGTCAACATTAAATACAACAATATATACATAGTATCTATCAAAAACTAAATAAAGTGGAATAAAATGGCAAAATACCACAAATAAATTTCAAAAAAAAAAACTATACATAACCGGATATTTTCCTACCTATTTCATTTTCACATACAAAAATAAAAATATTTTAGATTGCAGTTGTAAGTTTGCTATAAAGTTAAAATGTCATTTGAAAATTTTTACAAAATATCTACAAACTGTGAACGCGAAGAAATTTTAGCTTTTTTATTAAATTTTTAAACAAAAACTAATTCCAAAAAAAAAAAAAACTGAACCGGAAGTTATCCATATTTAAAAATTATGATATTTGCTTGCGGAAATTTTCAATCAAAATATTTTTCATTTAAAATTTTTTACATATTGTTGTAGTTTCCATATATAATAAAACATTTCCATATATAATTATTTAACAAAAATTGTGTAGAATGTTGTATAATAATAGATAAATGTGATCACAAAATTTGATGAAAATTGCGAAATAGTTGGGTGCTTATTGTCATTTTAGGCTTCCTTCTGTACAGAGTGATTAAATATAAATTCTTAATATTATTATGCTTGATTTGTAAATCAAAAATAATTATCACATATCCTATTTAAGAGTAAATACTGGAAATTTGCAATTACATGTACAAGATTTCTATAAAATATTATTAAGTTATAACTTGACGCCCCGTAACAAATCGTAGAATTAAATGATTTAGTTTTAAATTTCGGTTGGTAAATAATTTAATTTTTCAAGATCGTTTCCTCTAAAAATATTAAAAATTTTAATAATTTTCTTTTGTCAGGATATTCTTTCGATCATTTTGAAAGTTATATTAAGCAAATTTTTTTAATTATATCTTTTCGGTTTCCTTAAAATAGATTTAAAAGTAGTTAAGTTTTAGTTACCAACACGTAACAAATATTTTAAGTTCTGTACTCAATATACTTCAATTTTCAGAAACCCTTGTTGTACTATATTTGCACATATTCTTGATATTCATTGCAATTCTTTATGTGAGATATGCTAATATTTTGTACAAGTAAATTAATTTATTAAAAAATCTTGCAGAGCCACCTGTGCTTAAGGCAACACAATTTGTTTACCTAAACAGTTTTCTATCTAAAACATGTCCTCCGCATTGTTTTCTTTTTTCCCTTATTTTTCCCTTTTCTCTTGCTTCCATTATAATTTATTTCATCAATATTATATGTATATTTATTTTTATTAGTTATGCAAACATATCCTGAAAAATGAATTCCGAGGGGAAATTTATTACTCTATGTTTATAATATTTTTGTTCTTTTCTTTTCTTATTTTTTTATAGGTATTTCGTTTTGTTTTCCACCAATACTATTCCATAGATTTATAGTTTTATGAATAACGTGTATATTATAGTTTTATGCTCCCGCGGAAAATAGTGTTGTACAATACTAATAGCGAAAAAAAGAACGAAAAACTAAAATACTAAAACGGATTTTGAATTTTAAATGCATTTAGGACAAAAATGATTGCATTTCATAACATATTATTATATGTTATGCTCATGTATAATTAATTAAAATTATGTTAAATGATACAATATTTATGTATGAATATGCAAATAACTTGGGCATGTAGAATAATAATTGTATATTGGGTCTACTAATATGGAACTTATATTGTAGCTAATAAAATTATATTTGTTTTAAAGGACAACG